GGATAGGGTCAAGGGGGCAGGTGGTGAGGCGGGCATCAGAGAGGATCTTGGAGACTTCTTCGATGGTAGTAAGGTCAAAGGTGCGTAGTGTTGGGGGAGCTTCAGTATGAGGAATGTAGGGTGGGGTGGGAGAGGAGGTCAGAGCAGTGGTGGGGCCGTGGGAGAGGGGTGTAGAGAGGGGGTAGCTGAGTGAGGGGGAAGGGGGTTGGAGGGGGAGTTTGAGCAGCGACAAAGTCCCTGTGGGTTATGTCGAGGGGGAGGGGGGATGAGGGGGTAGCTGTGTGAGAGGGGACGGGTTGAGAAGGCGTGTGAGTTGCGGCAATGTCCTTGCGAATTGTGTCAATCTTGTTTTTGAAGTGATTGGCAATCTCAAGGGCAGTGAGTGAGGTGCTGGGTGGAGGGTGGGGGTGGCGAGAGTAGAGAGTTGAAGGTGGAGAAGAGTCGGCGAGGATTGGAGGAGAGGGCCTTGATGAGGGTCAGGAAGTAGGCTTGTTTGGCAGTATGGAGGGAGGAGGTGTAGGTGTGGAAGGCAGATTTGTATCGGGTGAAGGCTTGTTGGGATTTGGTTTTGCGCCATAGTCGCTCCAGGGCACGACTGTGTCGTTTGAGGGTTTTGGTGTGATCAGTCTGCCAGGGCTGGAGCGGTCGGGGTCTGATGTTGCGTGTGGTTAAAGGCTCTAGTGAGTCAAGGGCTGTTGACAGCGCATTGTTGTAGGCGGTCATAGCCAAGTCGGGGCAGGACAGGGGGAGGATGCGGTCATGGAGTTGATCAACTGCGGAGTGGAGGGAGGCAGGGTTAAGGTTGCGGAGGTTACGGCTGGTAGTAGTGTGACATTTGGAGGGGTAGGCGTTGGAGGATGAGGAGATAGAGAAGGTAATCAGGTTGTGGTCAGAGAGAGGGAAGGGGGTGTTAGTGAGGTTGTGGGGAGCGCAGCGGTTGGAGAAGACAAGATCAAGGATATTACCGTCGGAGTGGGTGGTGGATTGTATGCACTGTGCAAGTGCAAAGGAGGAGGTTAAGTGGAGGAGACGGGCTGTGTCCGGGTTGTCGAGGTTGACAGGGATGTTGAAATCCCCAAGGATGATAGTGGGTAGCCAGAGGAGAGGAAGAAGGGTAGCCAGGAGGAGAAGTCATCCAGGAAGCGGGATATGGATCCAGGAGGCCGGTATATCACAGCAATCTTCAGGGGGGTTGGGGAGAATAGTCGGACGCAGTGGGCCTCGAAGGAGGAGAAGGATAGGGAGGGGGGGTTTGGGAGGACTCGGAAGGTGCTCAGCGGTGACAGGAGCAGGCCAACCCCACCACCTTTGACGACCGTTGGGCCTGGGTGAGTGGGTCCAGGTGAGACCGCCGTAGGAGAGTGCAGCAGGGGAGGTAGAGTCAGTGGGCTGGATCCAGGTTTCCATGATCGCTAGGAGGTTGAGGGAGCGGGAAACAAAGAGGTCGTGGATGGCGGTAAGCTTGTTGCACACCGATCGGGCGTTCAGGAGTGCACATGAAAACGGGGGGGAGATTTTAGGGAGCAGGGGGACAGATACTAAGTTTGGGGGTTGCGGCAGGACGTGGAGGCGGGAGGGTTTTGTGCGGGTGAGGGAGGTGGTGGAGGGCCAGGATTCGGGGAGATGTCCCCCGCGGTTATGAGGAGGAGAAGGGTGAGAAAGGTGGCATGGGAGCGGGATGTGCAGGAGCGTGAGAAACTACTAGTGGAGGTGTTTGGGTCAGTGGGAGAGTGGAGTAATAGGAGGTGGTGGGTGCCATAGAGGGGTGAGGGAAGCAGTGAGGGCACAATATACAAATGTTTGGGAGGAGCAGAGGGATATAGTGAATGGATTTTGGGAACAGAGGAGAGGAAAATGAGAAGGAGGAGTGGAAGAGGCATTTTGGGGAGGTGATGAAAGCAATAGTAGAGAGATGATAGCAATGAGGGGTAGATGTACAAGTTTTGGGGTGGAGCAGAGGGGTAAAGAAATGAGATTTGGGAACAGAGGATAGTAATATGAAGAGGAGAAGAGGGGTGTATTATATAAAAGGTACACGGAGTGGGACTCAGATATGTAAAAAAGATATTTCCCAGGGTGTTTCCTTGCAGTCTGTCCAGCATGCAGTAGAGTTTCTTGCTGTTGTTGTGTTGTGCTTCCTGCTGCTTAAGTTCAACTGCTGTGTTTAACTGCTCTGCAATCATTCAAAGCCGCACTCCATCATAAGCAGCAGCACCCCCATCAGAGACTGTGCCCCCCATCAGAGATCTCCCCCATGAGCTGAACTAAATTTATAGGGAGATGCTCAAATGAGCATTCAACTCCGCCCCAATTAGAAGCTGATAAGGCTCACATGAATAGGGGGGGATGTTTCTTAGGAACCAGGCCACAGTCATAAACCTGAGTGCGCCTAGAGGTGAGGACAAGTCAACAGATACACAGATATAATTACAACATTTGTTGAGAATTTAACAGGAGTCAATGCGTTTGTCTGGTTAAGAGTGGAGGTAGCAGATAAATGCAGTTACCTGTGAAAGTAGAGAAGGCATAATTAAAGTGCTGTGTTTAACTGCTCTGCACTCATTCAAAGCCGCACTCCATCATAAGCAGCACCCCCATCAGAGACTGTGCCCCCCATCCCCCCCCCCCTCTACCAATGCAGCTAATTCGGGGGATTGCAGGAAACGAATACCAGACTTTGCTCCCAGTGATTGTGTTACCGGAGTGATCAGGAGAGGGGCCACTGGAAGGAATTACATTATGTGCAATGGTTAGTTTGTTTAAAGCACACACGTGCAAAGAGCAGTTTAAGACTGTTTTATATAGACAGTTTATAAAGAAGTTATTATTATTATACAGGATTTATATAGTGCCAACAGTTTGCTCATCTCTTTACAATATAAAGGGAGACAATACAGATCAATACAAGAGGGTTAGGAGCAGGGGCGGACTGACCATTTGGAAACTTGGGCACTGCCCGAGGGCCCGGGGTCAGTATGGGGCCAAATGTGATGCCCCTGGTACTTTTTTCATAGGCTTTTTTGAGTTTGGGTAAGGACACAGGGGCCCCATGAGTTGTCAGTCCACCCCTGGTTAGGAGGTCCCTGCTCCTTGGAGCTTACAATCTAAGAGGGAGGGACTAGTGGTACAATAGGTAGTAACTGTGGGGTAGTAGCAATAAAAACCTGGCGGGGGTTCTACCCTTCCTCACTCCATTCCCCCATAAAAAGTTTTGGATAAAGACATACCTAAAGTTCATTTATAAAAGAAGAAATTCTAGAAAGTTGATCTATGTAGATCATATAATCATTTATAAATGTGTGTATTTTATATCTGTAAATACAATGTGATCCTACAGAGACCAGACCATGTACAGCACGGAGCTCCGGTCTTGGAATTACACTCAAAATTCTCAATAGTTCTCGATGGGAATGAATAGCAAGAGTGGGGGGGGGAGGGGGGGGGGGTTCTTGTTTCAGTAATAGAACAACACTGCCATCTGCTGGCTTATTTTAAAAAATGGGGCTGTCCTGGACACCTGTGCCTGTTACCTAATGCCTGTGTAGTCTGGAGACTTTCTCAGCCTTTTTGCCTTGGAGAAATTCTTAAAATAATTTTCAGGTCTTGGGGAATCTAAAACCATTTGGGGAAAGTAGGAAAAATGCTTCTTACACTGGTGACCATTGGCAGTAATGCCCCACTTACAGCGGTGGTCAGGATGCCACCTTTAAAGACAGCTAAAAGACCATTGGTATCATGCAGCTGGTTGTGTCAAGTGGCGTTTGCCAGTGCCGGGACAACATCAATTAAAGCCAAGGACGAACATGCCAAACTACAACCCTCCCCCAAGATGTATAAGCATTATGTGTCAGCAAAAATCCCCTCCCCCCAAAAAAATCAAGCACTATTCTGCACAGGGGCGGATTGACAACTCATGGGGCCCCCGGGCAATATGAGATCATGGGGCTCCTGTGTCCTTGCCCAAACTCAGAGAATCCTATGAAAAAGGTACCAGGGGCATCTCATGGGGCCCCCTACTGACCCCGGGCCCTCGGGCAGTTCCCTGATTCTGCATATTTACCCGCTAAGCATAAATTCCCCCTCCTGCCAGTACAAATCCACCCCCCCCCCCCCCCAGAAGAAATGCCCCCCCCCCTCATCCCCCCTGCCCTAATCAGCCCTTCTAGCACAAATCCTCTACCCCTGAAACATCCCTTCTGAGCACAAATCCTATCCCCCCACGCCACCCCCCCCCAGCACAAATTCACCCTTCCTAGTACAAATCTCCACCCCTTCCATATTTCCCCTCCTAGCACAAATACCCCCAATCATCCCTATTAGCACAAACACCCTCCCCCCTCCTCAAAATAAAAAATGCCCTCCTAGCACAAATCCCCTCCCTACCCTACTCTATGACATTTTCTAGCACAAACCCCTCAAATCCTCTTTCTAGCAAAAATAATCTTCCCCCCACCCCCCTCCCAACAACAATCCCCCCAAATAACACTCTTAGCACCCCCCTCCCAAATTTCCCCTCCGATAACAATTCTTACCCCCTGCCCTTCCCCAATTTCCCCCTCCCTAAAAAAATCCCCTGCCCCAATCTCTCTGCAGTGCCCCTCCACCTCACATGATAACACAGTGCCATGGGCAGTCGCCCCTCCTGCCCACCCCTTGTCCTTGGCTGGCATTGGCCCTGGAACTATACTGACACCCAGGGGCGGACTGACCATTCGAGCACTCGGGTCAGTAGGGGGCCCCATGAAATGCCCCTGGTACCTTTTTATAGGCTTTTTTGGGTGTGCTTTGAGTGTCTGCAAGGACACAGGGGCTCCATGATCCCCTATTGCCCTGGGGCTCCATGAGTTGTCAGTCTGCCCCTGCTGACACCCAGGGCTGCTGTTCGAAACCACGGGGCCCCATACAACCAACCTGACAGGGCCCCCTTCAAAAAAGTTTACTATGCTTCAGTTATGAATGAGCACAGTGAGTGACCGGTACCGATCAGTCATTGTGTTCATTGAAGAAAGGAAGGGGCTGGTAAATGTGACATATTTACTGGACCCTTCCCCCACTCTCCATCCTGAAGGATCCTATTGTCTGCTTGCAGCTGCTGGTGGGAAGAAAAGGAGGGAAGCCAGCAGCACTACAGGGGTAGGGGCATACAGGGGGGCCTGGACAGCAGCGGAGAAACGTATGGTGCACAGAGAGGGTGATGGGTGTGACAGAAGGCATATACTGGAACCAATCCCCTGTATGGCTCTCTCTGCAGCAGTTGAAAGCCAGCAGGAGGGAGAGGAGAAGCAGCCAGCTTTCAGCTGCTGCAGAGGGAGCCATACAGGGGATCGTTTCCAGTAATTGTCCCCCTGCCACACCCATCGCCCTCCTTGCCCACATCCGACTCACCCAGCTACCTGGGCCCCCCTGCTGGCTTGGGCCCTGTACAGGAGGACTGGTGGTACCCACTTATCCCCAGCTCTTCTGACACCATCAAATCACACCAGATCAAACAGCCACAGCTTAAGGAACCCCCAACAACCTCTGGAGGAATCTTAGGGCCCCATGGGTAGGACTGGCTGGTCTGGACTGTTTATTGTTTTTATTAAAAAAATAAACTCCTGCTTCCATGTATTTTATGTGTAAATAAATGATGATAGTGAGCAGATAGCAACCAGTCAGATCCCAACTGTCATTTTTCTTGTGCAGATTACGTGAAAGCTAGAAGCTCTGTTTCTTGGCTATAACAAACGTCCCATATTTCTGATACGAGAAGGAGGCGCTGCTTTTAGAACATAGAAAGGACACACTCCTATTTACATAGACGAGGATACATTAGTGGAAGTGGAAGTCAGGGCAAAATATAAAATAACATAGATGATGTGGTCTATCAGTAGCATTGAAGGCTGAAAAAAGATGCAGACAGGCAGGTTCATACAATGTCTCTTCTGCAAAATGTACATGCTCAGTTCCGTTTACATTTTTGGGACAGTGCTAGTGTCCTGGGATGAATGACTCCCACACATATGCGGGAGTGATGTCATCCTATATCAGCCAATCAGGATAGCCAAAGACCAGCACCCAGAGAAGTCGCGGAGAAGATGCCATAGTCCCTGACTTTAGTTCTGCTTTAACACAGCAGGTTTTTATTAGGCACATCCTGCCCGTAGAGCTGTTATTTCTCCTCTTCCCTTAACCTCTTCTGACAGTCGTACACATATATGGATCCCTGGAATCTTCCAGGATCCCCTGAGGAAGCCATGTGAACACCATAACAACATGCATAGGGCGGAGGCAGGTGACATTGATTGACAGCTGTAATCAGCAGGTTTTTATTTAGTCGCATCCTGCCATAGAGCTATTATTTTTTCCTCTTCCCTTAACCTGTTCCTGACAGTCATACACATACATGTATACCCTAATTCTTCCAGTATTCCTTGAGGAAGTTATGCGACCATGACGGCACACGTAGGGTGGAGTCAGGTGACATTGATTGGCAGCTGTAATCAGCAGGGATTTTTTTTTGTCAAATCCTGCCCATAGAGCTGTTATTTCTCCTCTTTCCTTAACTTGTTCCTGACAGTTGTACACATATATGTATACCCTGAATCTTCCAGGATCCCCTGAGGAAGTCATGTGACCATAACAACATGCATAGGGGGGAGGCAGGTGACATTGATTGACAGCTGTAACCAGCAGATGATTGCAAACAACTGGACAGTTTTTTGAACAGCCCATGGGAACTCTACTTATGGTGGGATATGATACCCTGTTTGGCCGGTATTGGCCTCTCTGGAATGTAAGTGCAATACCTTGTTTTAAACAATACAGTACTTTTATACGGTTTTACACTATGGGCTGGCATTGTGTTTTTACTTTTGAGAACTACTGAGCAACTTTATCGGATATAAAGATTGCGGCCAGGGGCAGACTGACAACTCATGGGGCCACCGGGCAATAGGGGATCATGGGGCCCCTGTGTCCTTGCCCCAAACTCAAAAAAGCCTATGAAAAAGGTACCAGGGACATCTCATGGGGCCCCCTACTGACCCCAGGCCCTCGGGCAGTGCCCGAGTTTCCATATGGTCATTCCGCCCCTAATTGCGGCATAGATGATCCTTTGGCAGGAGAGTGGCACACTCCCTAAAGGCGCATGTAGACCATTTGCTTTGCAGCATAGGTCGACATCATCTGGTAAGCTGCTGACCTTTTGCACGGACTTGGTGTCACTGAGTGTTTTTTATGAAGAGCACTGTACTTGTTTTGGAGGATTTTCTGGAGAATTATAATATTTCTGGACTTACTTTATCACTTTCATTTCTCTGAGGAATACACTGTTATATTATTTTGCATTGTGTAATGTACATTTAGGTGTTATTCATTATTCACTTTATTATAGTTTGTTTCTAATTAGCTCCACACTATTATACAATCTATTATATTGCTAGTGGCTGGTTATTGCTGGTGAGATTTATTGGTGCTCGGGGGTCCATTGTTGCTGGAGGATTTTATGTTGCTAGGAGGTCAATTGTTGCTGTTGCTGTGGGGATCTATTGTTGCTGGCTATAGGGAAGTGGGTAAGGGGATGAAGGCAAGGGGTAACTTGGAAGGGGGAGTATTTGAACTTATTCTCTGAGGAAAAAAGGCCCTAATTAACATAGAGGGGGAAGCGTGGGACTTATTCCACACAATATATGGCTGGGCATGGAATTTAACGCTGAGCCGCCACACATGTGAATCCATGGGGGATGGCTTTCTGTACAAGAACATGCTCTGTGCACCTTCCCAACAGTAAAGCTATTATAGACAACTCCTGATGATTTTTCATCAAGCTTCTAATCATGTGGCCGCTTTGGCAATCAGATTGATATCTGCCCAATGATACTCATCGAGTTCCAGAGCCAGCAACATGGAACGACAGGAACAGCTCACACTGGACCAGCTCCATACTCACTGCACCACGTCCTCCTTAACACAGCAGGCTAATCATATTAGATGTTATTTGATAGAAATCATTCACTATCTCCTTTTTCCTTCACAAGTCTGAAACGATCTGCCGAGATCTCTTCAGTATTTCCCCTTTGATTCCGCCATCTAACTTCACACAGTCCAACATGGTTAAAGGGTTTGTATTTTACTGCTGTGACCTGAAGAAGTTAGGCTATCTTACTTATTATATTTGTATTTATACTTGGGATACTAAGCATATCTTACAGAAGCATATCTGCAAAACTGAGAAAAACATGTTTCTAAATATGCTGGGCATGTAAGCCCATTGATTAGAGCGGAGCTCCTCCCAAAAGGGGAAGTTCCGCTTTAAGCCTTTGTCCCCCGCTCCCCATTAAGGATTAGCACCTTTGGGGAGCAGGTACCCGAATTCGACAGGTACCCACTCTCAATTGCCTAGGTGATCGGAAGCGGAAGTTATCCCCCCTCCCTGTAGTCTTCTGAAACATGACAGGTCCCAGAAAACTACGGGGCCATTCACAAAGCACAGCGCTTCTCGCGCATGCGCAGTGGGCACCCAGCTATGAAGCCGCAAGCTGTCACAGTCGGGTGCCCACACTGAAGATGTCGGCGCTGGGGAGAGAAGATGGTCTGTGAAGCCAACCGTGGTGAAGACATCGCTGGACCGAGGGACAGGTAAGTGGCTGTATTTTAAAAGTCAGCAGCTACAGTTTTTGGAGCTGCTGACTTTTATTTTTTTTTTTAGGTGGAACTCCGCTTTAAAAACTGGAGAAAATGAACAAGAGCAATTTTCGACTGCAACCAATTTAATATTTGTTGGGTAGGTTCAATGTGAAAGCCATTTCTCAATTTGTTAGCAGACTTCGCACTGATCAACAACGTTGAGTTAGGCTGGCTATACACAAGAAGAATTTTGTTTGAAATGTTTCAGAACATTTGTTTGATTTTCTACAGTAATTGTTAGTGGGATCCAAGGCTTTTGTTAGAAACCATGGGGGCCCCATACAGAAACTTTGACAATGAAAGGCGGAATTGCCCCTGAGGTCTCTGTCCAGCCCCATGTGGGTAACCCTATACCAAGAACCATTGCTGTCACATGGGGAGGAAGGAAAGCCAGTCACAATGTCACTTTGCATCCCCATGCAAACAGAAAGATGCCTTCATGAGGAAAATAATTTTTTTATTTTGTTCAATTTCTGTTCAATTCAATTTCCTTACAGCTGTTTATATCTTAAAGTACTTGTAAATCCTCACCTTGTAAAACAACCCATTCAGTTTAAAATAGAAATGAAAGGCAAAACATGTGTGTATATATAAAAACATATATAAAAACATTGTAAATACCTTTCATCCCTTTTTATAAGTGATCACATTCCCTCTGTTCTCAGCTGCAGAAGAGCTGGGGGAGGAGAAACAGCATCACATTAATCTTCCCAGTGATTGGCTGTGCGAGGGGGGTTTAGGACAGCTCTGATCATTGGAGAAGAGCAGGCTAAGTTCCCAGGACAGCTAGAGAACTGACTACACTGTTCTCTCCTGCTTAGTGTGGTCAGTTTTTATTAGGAAAGCAGAGGGACTGGCAGGAACCCCAGGGTTTTCACACAAAGGAAGCAATACAAAAAAACAGAATACTTATTTATACAAGTACATGGTACAGCAGGCATATATCAAGAATATGAAATGTTGGGTGTACATATTCTTTAAAGAGACTCTGGTGGTGATATCTGTCCACTAGAATTCCCAGCTCCAAGCAATCACCATGGCCATTGTGATGCCAGATAATGTTGTTATTCTCCTGTGTACTATGAAGTCAGCAAATATATTGGGGAGGCCACCTTCAGTATGGCTTTATGGGAGTGGGCAGAAATGGAAACTGCTATGAGGAACTATCTCCATTTGAGTCTCATAAATTTAAACAGCTACTACTGGTGAATTAATGCACCAATAGCGCCCCAATAGTGAGGCTGACCTTTAAGCCTGCCATAATTCACCTAAACCCTACTCTAAGTTAACAGCTAGTTTTTCCATCCAAGGGCGGACTGACCATTCGAGCACGAGGGCCCGGGGTCAGTAGGGGGCCCCCTGAGATGCCCCTGGTACCTTTTATTGGCTTTTTCATAGGCTTTTTTGGGTGTGGGTGAGCACACAGGGCCCCATTATCCCCTATTGCCCGGGGGCCCCATGAGTTGTCAGTCCGCCCCTGTTTCCACCCGCAGCCTTTTTCAGGACCTGAAAATTGGGATTGTCCCTTCAGTATTGGAATGCATGGAAGGAGTGTCTTAAGTACAACAAGGGGTATAACAGCTACCCAGTTTATTATAGCTGATGAGGTTTAAGGTGCTGCTCGGATCCTAGCCTGGGGGTCTCCAAAAAGCGCTCCTTTGGATAAAGAAGTATTTGATTCCCTTTTTGTGGGGGAACTGGCGTTCTCATCTGGACTCTCTGCTCATACAAGTTAACTAAAACCATTAGGGCTCAGGGGGTTGTCAATTCACCCCAGCTGGTTGCCCACACTGTTCTTGGTCACACTTGCTGCTCCTTACATCCCAATACATTTATGTGTTGCATGTTTTTTTTCCTCTTCTCTGCAGCTTGGGTATTATATCACTCAGAAGTGTATCAGTGCATTGTGTTAAAGTTGATTATAATACTAATTACCATAAGAAGTAGACAGTTACCTTTATTTTTTTTTCAGAGCAGACATCAGTTTCAGAAACTTTCCCATTTCTAAAATATGCTTCGATGGAAGCTTTGTGAATGCTCCCTGAGCAGCGGCACTCTGTTCAAAAATAGAGCAACTTTGGTGAATTGGGACTAGAGGAACTGTCAAACTCATTAAAATGGCACACTAATTAACTAATAACAATGACCTAAGATGCTAGTTGCTGTCATCTTTGAAAGTCATTAGGCAAGAACCAAAAAAAAAACATGTCTGACCTTCTCAGCAACATTCTAAACGCGTTTGGTGACATTATACTGTGCGTTGAATTATCTAGGTGACAATGTTTGTGACAATTTTACTTTAATATAACTTTTTCCCTTTCTCTTCATTTTTCTTTGCAGATACTTTCTACAATCTCTCTGCATCTTATTGGCCAACTACAATGGAAAACACCTCATGGCTGAACACGACAAGCATTGATACGCAAAGCCCAAATTATACAATGGGCACGAGAAGTCCGTACCAAACAATGGAGATGATTTTCATTGCCACAGTCACGGGCTCACTTAGCTTAGTCACTGTGGTAGGAAACATTTTGGTCATGCTTTCCATCAAGGTCAATCGACAGTTGCAAACAGTGAACAATTATTTTCTCTTCAGCCTGGCCTGTGCTGACCTTATTATTGTGTTTTCTCTATGAACCTCTATTCTGTGTATATTATTAAGGGCTACTGGCCTCTTGGTCCTATTGTGTGTGATTTGTGGCTGGCCTTAGACTACGTGGTCAGCAATGCTTCTGTAATGAACCTCCTGATCATCAGCTTTGATCGGTATTTCTGTGTTACCAAACCATTGACTTATCCAGCTCGAAGAACCACCAAGATGGCAGGTCTGATGATTGCAGCTGCCTGGCTCCTTTCCTTTGCCCTTTGGGCACCTGCCATCCTATTCTGGCAATTCATTGTGGGTCAGAGGACAGTGAAGAATGATGAATGCTACATCCAGTTTCTTTCCAATCCAGCAGTCACTTTTGGCACAGCCATCGCAGCCTTCTACCTTCCTGTGGTCATCATGACCATACTGTATATTCACATTTCATTGGCCAGCAGGAGTAGGGTCCGCAGACATTGTCCAGATGCCCGACAAGAGAAGAAGAAACCCATTAGCTCTATGAAAAGTCCTCTGATAAAACAAACCAAGAGTCCTCCCAAACCAGAGCCTTTGGAAGCAAAACCAGAAGAGGAGAATGGAGTAAGAAATGGAAAAATAGAGAAATCTTTGACCAACCTTCAGTCAGTGGAGGAAAAAGAGACCTCGAATGAATCAAGCACGGCCAGCATGAATCACAATCCTCCAGATAAGCAGTTGAGTAATAATGCGTCTTCTGGTGTTGTCTTGGCCCCTACTCAGAGTATACAGTCTTTGCACCCAAGGGTGAATACTGCTTCAAAGTGGTCGAAAATCAAGATTGTCACCAAGCAGACAGGTAATGAGTGCATAACGGCCATAGAGATTGTGCCTGAATGCTCAATACCTCTGCACAAAGATTCTTCTGGCTTGCCAAATACTCGTCCAGGCAATGTGGCACGGAAGTTTGCAAGCATTGCACGCAATCAGGTGAGAAAGAAACGTCAGATGGCAGCTAGGGAGAAGAAAGTTACCAGGACAATTTTTGCAATTCTGCTAGCATTTATCATCACATGGACGCCTTACAATGTCATGGTCCTCATAAACACATTTTGTGAGACTTGCATCCCTGAAACAATGTGGTACATAGGCTATTGGCTCTGCTATGTGAACAGCACAATAAACCCAGCTTGTTACGCTCTGTGCAATGCCACCTTCAAAAAGACCTTTAAACACCTCCTCATGTGCCAATACAGGAACATTGGTGTAGCCAGATAGGCTTAAGGAACTTACATTGTAAACACTCGCTTTCATTCTTATGATGTAAAACAAGTCATTAATGGAATTTAGAGACTTCCCTGAGCAAAAATCCTCAGTAGCTCATGGAAAGCTGCACAAAGGACATTTTTTTGGGTTCAGCAGCAGGATTGTAGGTAGATATTAATCTAATGCAATCGGCATTCTCTTTAAAAGAAAGTCCTGTTTTGGAGGACACTATTTAAGTAAACCTAAAGACTAAAAACAGTTTTGACTTGAAATGAGATGTTCCATATCTTAAACAAAGAACTATATAAATTATGGTGTAGTACTGACTGGAAGCTTAGCAGGAAAACAAAATCTTGTGAACAGTCACCAGTTTGATGGCCTTGTTGTAGACCTTCTTTAGACCATCTTGAAAAGCATGTTATATCAATGCTGTTACAGTCTTGCAGAGCATTAATCTTTGATGAGTAAACCAATCAGTGCTCTGCTGTACAGTCTTTCTTCCAACACTTGGAACATTTCTGTAGTAATGGTATAAATGACCTGTTACACCCCTGCTAAGTATTTTCCATATGCCAATGTTATCTGCTGTCCTTACCTATACTGCAGGTCACCACTAGTCTATTCCTTGGTGTGTGACATAAAAATCCGCCTACAGCAATCTCTATTCTTCGCAAATACCCACAACGCACTTGCATTTGGATAGACCCTTGAGACGGTCTAATCTTTTGGTGCAAGCAATTCGAGAATCAGCTGCTGGGCATTCTACAGTAGCCAAAACCTCCTTTGATTCCTCCTAGGATGTTAAGTTATGAAGTTGGTTGAGGTGTTGGACTATCTTATAACAGACTTATATATCATTTGTTTTCCATCCAGTTTAGAGAGTTTTCAAAAAGATACAATATGACAAGATAGTCCAGACAGAGCACCTTATGAGAAAAGATATGATAATGAAACACTGCTTCCTGTTGACCACACTATGGATTAACTTCAGGTCACCAGGGTCATAATAATTTAATAACGATTCAGTTCAGGTTTGGATTTATTTGCTTATTACACAAGACAAATAGCCCAGCATTCCATTGATTTTTTAATTCATTTTCTAAAATAATAGCACACAAGTAGTTCTGTTATCATGTTTGCTGAAAGTATATCTCAACCCCTTACTTATGTGGGGTCCAACATTCCAACGATCTACTGAATTTCCATCTTAGTTGTCAGTCTCATTTGACACTTACATTTTAGGACTGATCTGTACAAGCAGGAAAGAGCATTCTATTTTTTAGGTCAAAGATAAAAAATAGCACTAGATTATTATCTCTCTGGTGACCTGAGGCAAGCTTAGAGCAACTTAGAGCACATCAGTAATTTCATAATAAACACGGTGAAGAAGGAGGGTAGGAAGTTTGAACGCTGTACATATTTCTTCAGTCTTTGTCCATTCCAGAAGGACATCATTTGAGGGTTACTTTAGTACTGTATGCTTCCATGGTGTTTGCTTGTTAGCGCTGCAGCACATTCATTTTGGCAACATTTTGGGGAAGGCATTTTTCTGTTCCAACATGACAGTGCCGCTGTGCACAAGACCAGCTCTGTAAAGCTTGCTGAATTTGGTTTGGAAGAATGCAAATGATCTGCACAGAGCCCTGATCCCAACCCTTGCCTTGCTGATGGAATGGAATGCCGATTTCAAGCTTTCTTGTCCAGCTTTAACATTTGACCTAACAAAATCCCTGAAATATTTTGTGGAAAGCCTTTCTAGAAGAGTGAAGGGTGTTATAACTGAAAAGGAAGGAGAGGTATCAATTCCATATTAATATCAATGGTTTTTGGAACATCCAAAAATTTTGTATTGAGGGGGTCAACTATATTTAATCCATATAGTATACCTTCCACAGGTTTTTTAGCAGTTTGAAAGAACTGCACCACCATTTTCCTGCTGAGCAAAATACTGCTGTTCTCTTACTTATAGATTTCACAAGTGGTCTATGACATCAACCAGCATTTTGAGATATTCAGACAAGACAGAGAGAAAAGTCCACGCCAGATGTCCAGCATGACCATATAACATAATTTCATAATAGTTGAGCATCTTTTATGGTCCTCTGTGAACCCCAAAATTGGAGATGCTGAGTTTAAAAGATCTAGAGCCTGGAAGGTTGGACTCTTCTCCCTGTTTGTCACTAAATGTGATGGGCGGTGGTGGTGATGGATAGAAAGGTACAGGGGTAAGATGAGCCAAAGCTTGGCCTTTCAAGCTTGGAATGATATTTGTGTAATTGAATATTTTTTGGGTTTTTGGGTCTATCAGGAAGTGTTAGAAAATAACCCAACGTATGTTCAAACACCTATAGGAGGCTAAAATTAACGCCCGGCTTTAGCCATTAACCAATTAGGAAGAATTTGGAAAATGATTCTACACATGGGATACTGGTAGCAAAGATGCCAAAAGTTGCTTGAGATAAAGTAACCAGCACTAGGTGTTTGGTTTAGGGATACCATGACTAGGGATGTTGGTTTAAGACAGTGTTTCTCAACTCCAGTCCTCATGGACCCCCAACAGGTCATGTTTTCAGGATTTCCATTATTTTGCACAGGTGATTTGATCAGTTTCACTGCCTTAGTAATTACCACAGCTGTTTCATCTGAGGGAAATCCTGAAAACATGACCTGTTGGGGGTCCATGAGGACTGGAGTTGAGAAACACTTGTTTAAGAAGACCACGTCATGCTATAGGCTGAAGTGGAAAAGGAATTGTGAATAACTTTACACCACTAGTAAAGCAATTACATATCTCAGTTTTTAGAATGTATGCATGGTCAAACTCAGAAACTGCTTAAATGATATGGGGTATGTGCACTCCATATCAAAAAGCCTTGCTAATTTAGAAGTGCCTCCTGTCATCACTCCAAATATACTTACTGATTCTGGCAGGAAGTTTGTTATGAATTAATTTCCTTTTGGACAGGTAACAAGCCTAAGATAAAGTCTACAAAAATTGCTCTAGTGTTCTCATCCATCCAGGTGCAATCTCAAGCCAGACTACAGTTGGATGTTTCGGCGTACCTATCACTGGCATGTCCCATTGTTGTCTGTGCGAAAACTCCTTCTTGGATTGGGCTGGACCATGCCTAGCCAGACCCCTCAATGTGTTGATTTCATGGGGTGCTGGAGCAAGGAGCAACAGCATATGTTGCTGAACCACATTTCCTCTACAGAAAGTACCCACAGGGGCTCATGGGAGTTGTAGTTCTGGTGACAGCATCACAAGAAGGTGATGTGTAGTTACAAATGCAACCTGTCTACCTAGCCAGGATATTTTTGCACACTAGTAAAGGAGGCCATAAGAGATAAGGACAAAAAAATTTAATAAAATCACTTTCCTAAAAAAGTTAACATCTAGCCTTCAGCAAAGAATTCTATAAAACATTCATAAATAAAAATGAGACTTCATATTTCCTTCGACTAAGCTGGAGTTTTAATGCATTAAGGTTGAGGAAAGCTGTTCTAAAACATCTTGAGAAAATTGGTGCCTGCCTTTAGTACCCTCCTTCTTTACACCCAACCATGTGCTGTCATTTGATGTGTTGCACCTAACAGCAAGCCTGGGAAGGACATCAATTATACACCAAAAAACAAGTCATCATGGTTACTTTTCGACCTGTGCCAAGATTACAGCATTTGTTCTTGCGTAGAGATGGACTTTTCGATATTTTTTTATAGAGTGATAAATATTTATTAATACTGTCTTTGTATCTGCATGATTCTGGCTACAGGCAGTGTCAAACTTTCAGTGTTGCAGCGTGCCTACCTGGCAGTGACAAGGGTAAAGCACATGCTGGGTGCAAAATATCTTACAGTCATTAAACAAGTGGTCTCTCTCAACTGTCTATGTGTTGTGTTGGTTATCCTTTAACCATCTGTATATTTTGTGGTTCCATCAGCGGTTGTCTAAGAAGTCAGCCCCGTAAATCTGGAAAGCTCAAATACTTCAGGATGTTTCAAGCACACTTATTACCTTTACAACAGTTTTAAAACTTGTGGGATCCTTCATACTAGAGAGTGAATATTGCTAAGTACTATACAATGCTATGCAATGTAACTCTACACCACTGTCTGTATTTTGTGGCCCATTCATAAAATGTAAAAGAAAAACGTATTCCTGCGCCAAACAAACTACAAAATCTAAACTGCTGCTGTGGAAATTGTGAAGAAACACAAACAATAAGAAATATAAATAAACAGCGCAAAAAAAGATTTCTAAATCCACTCATAAAACATTATTATATAAAGTGCATAAATTAATAGTGAGTGTCCTCAATTAAATTATTATAAAACACCAAAAGTCCATGTGTAATAAAGATCAAAAATTCCAAAAATGTCTTCAAATATAAAGAAAAACTTCCACCTTCCACCCGTGCAAAAACCAACATCAAATGCATTCACCAGAACTTGGTGAGTGAGAAGCCTTTAGGTAATTTTAAAGGGATCCTAAACCCTCTTTAGCATCCACTCTATAGAATTCTCCACCATCCGAATAGGCTCCACCGCTCAACCAGGAGAAAGAAATCTCAAATAGTGTAATATTGCCAGATAATAATAAGATTTTCAAACAGAGATTAAGGCCACTCACATGTCAGCAACTTGTAAAAGGCACATCTATTAAATATAATAGCCTCCAGATGAAACATGAGCGTTTTAACAGCCTTCTTATTCCAGGAATCTCACATTAGCCACAGGATAGAGCAGAGAATCCACACAGACCAACACAGCTCCCAAAGATGGCCGCTGGAACGCACCATTCAGCGTGCGCTCCACTCACCAGACGTACGGGGTATGGACCGGAAATGCGTCAACGCGTTTCGCCCCTCCCATCGGCGTTCTCAAGACCTTGAGGACACTCACTATTAATTTATGCACTTTATATAATAATTTTTTATGAGTGGATTTAGAAATCTATTTTTGCGCTGTTTATTTATATTTCTCATTCATAAAATGTAGGCCACAGTGTAAAG